CTTATTACTACCCTTTCTGCTTTCAAGAAAGCAATAAAGACGGATCTCTTCTGGCAGGCTTTCCCGGAATAATCCCCCAGCTCTAGCAGAGGTTACCTTAACGCCCTTAACCCCCCGTAGTACATGGACATGCCCAAATTGTTTACTTTGTTTTTAAGAATCATTTTAACTTTGGGGGGTGGGTGGGTTTCTTGCATTATGTTTTATCTGGATATGCTTTTAAACTTGTAAGCCGCCCTGATTGGATTACCACTGGGCGGGGTATAAATGAATATTATTATTATTATTATTATTATTATTATTATTATTATAGTTTAATTTAGTTTTAAGGGGTGGGAGGATTAGGGTGTGGGATATAGGAATTTTACATTGTCTCATTTTTAAATTATGCTGTACGCCACCCCGATTGCTGAGCAGAGGGGCTGTTTAGAAATAAAACTTATTATTATCATTATTATTATTATTATTCAGTATTAGCTAGAAGAGAAGGAACTTGGACTTAAAAATATTTTGATCCAAATCACCAAGTTCACAGTGTGAAACCATCTCTCACACTTTGAGTTACAACTACAGTATGTTAAATCCATTTACCTGTCTCCTTTCAGCTATAAACCTACCATCCTGATTTCTTTCTACATTGAAATAAACCCAGCTTTGGATGGTGGGAATTCACTTTCCTAAATATTATCCTTCTTATAACTCATGATTGTAATGGTTCCTGTGTAGAAAACTTCCAACAGGTAGAAGAAATTGCTTAAATTTTATTTAAAATATCAGTTACCCAATACTGCTAGTGAATCATATGCAAATTGGAATTGTTGTTATGTTCCTTCAAGTCGTTTCCCTAAGGCAAACCTATCACAAGATTTTCGTGGCACACTTCTTCATGGGGGGGGGGTGTCATTGCCATCCTCAGAGGCTGAAAGAGTATGACTTGACCAAGGTCATCCAGAGAGTTTACATGGCTGAGCGGGGATTAGAACCCTGGTCTCCAGAGTCCTAGTCCAAAGCTCAAACCACTAAACCACACTGACTCCTAAACTAGAATTGCACTGACACAAAAAAGTGGTCATGGTAACTACTATTACTTCTATTATTATTATTAATATTATTATTAGCACTTTTGTCATCAGGACCTTACATTATCCTGCTCAGGAACCAAAAAATGGATTCCAGTAGCCCGTGTTAAAAATGTTTACAAAGTAGATTAGATCTCCTCCCAAAGGTTGCTTAAGAATATAACAGAATGCATTAATATTTAATATTTTCATCTTAGCTCTGCTTCCTCCAGGTCTGAAAGAACAAACTTGCTGCTTGCAAGTCCACTCTTAAACATTTAGGAACTGTGAAATGGGAAATGGGAGTACCCCACTCTGCATGTGCAACGCTTCTCATTGTCCTCAGGAAACAAAAAATGAGGAATGAAAAATTTGGTTGCTTAGCAACTGCAGGCTTCATTTTCTAAAACTACCTTCCCTTCAGCAGAAGTGGCAAAGTGGATGAACTGGAAGGGGAGTATTGAATAAAAACATTGACAGCAGAGACACTAAAAATAATCCCTCCACTCCTAACCATTCATCCTTTTCATAAGTCTTCTGAGGATCAAACAGCGATGGACCCTGTTCCTTTCCATATATTCAGCCCATTCACATAAAAATTGCTTTGAGATATTATTAGATATGGGAAATGGCATACACTGAGAAAACAAAAGAGGTCTTGCCCCAGCCCCATATATGTTGTTTGTTGTTGTTTTGTTGACTCATGGTGACCCTATTACTGTACCACAAAATTAGAAAATTTTGCCTAAAACTAGCATGGGAATTCGCCCTTTTAAAAATAACACAATGAGACGTATATGGACATACTTCCCATTTAAGTCAATATTGTCATGTTTTAAAGAAGCAGCCTTAAAAGTGTAGATTGCACTGGATCGCAGCCAAACTCCACAATATTGCTACTATGTTGGAGAAGCTTGGAAAGAATGGCTCATTAAAACACTGGTAGATTGAAAGTCCTAAATTTTTACTCCTTTGGACAGAACCCCATGTTGTAGGAGCTATCATAAAACAAACCATTCAATTCTGTGGCAATTTGCTATTACTGTTCTGTGCTTTCAAGTAATTTCTGACTTGTGATGACACAAAGGCATGGGGTTTTCTTAGCAAGATTTGTTCAGAATGGGTTTGCCTTTGCCTTTGCCTTCCTCTGTAACTGAGAGTGACTTCCCCAAGTTCACCCAGTAGGTTTTCATGACCAAGTGGGGATTCAAATCCTGATATCTACAGTCCAATACTCAAACCAGTATTCTACGCTGGCCCTTCAATTGCTATTATTATTAATGTTTGTTAACAATGCTGCATCCCTCTCCCATAAAGAGTTAATATGCATATTCATAATGGAAACTAGACTGGGAATTATTAGATGCTGGAAAAACATGGGAGGATTCAACATCCACTCTTGGGTGAAAAATCTGGCCTATTGCTCTGAATGAATAAATACAAATAATAACTTTTTTGCAACATGGATTTATTTTTTATTATATGTTTAACAAGAACCATTTGCTGTGCCCACCAAGTGATCAAGCTAAGGCAAACCAGATTCTCATTAATAGTAGACAACAGACATTGATATATATTAATCTAAAGTGAAATTATACGGAAGTCACCAGCATATACTATATACAGTTAACATTCATCTTGGATCAATTTATATCTTAAACTGTAAAGATCCTCACTTATAATGCCTCAGTGTGGTACATTGTTTTTGTAATATACTTATATTTTCCATTAGACTTTTTTGTAATTTTGTATTATGTTGTAAAAACATTTTTAATTAAAATGATATGAGCAGGAGGAGGAGGAGGAGGATTAGAAAATTCACCAATTCTTTTTATCTGAAGTCCAAATAATATCCTAAATTGCCTGATGTGGGTATCTTACTCTAGCAGCAAAGGAGTATTTCATTGGGGGAAGTGCCTGTCCCTACAAATCCATTGCTCTTGCCACTTTTCTCTGTTCCTGGCTCACTTGCAAGTGCTGGAGTTGAGAATTGGGGGGGGGAATGACGGGAACAACAGGACCAAAAGAAATAACGTGTGGGACAGCAAGGATGCTGTGCCTCTTCGCCATCCAGCCCTTTTACTGTTATGAAAAGGCTCATTTTTGTATTATATGTGAAGAGGACAGACAGATAAATAATGGTCCTTTGAGCATGTGGTATCATTGTCTGTGAGATACAATATATGCTCAATGTTTCCATTCAGGTCTCTCTGCTACTTACAATCAAGACAAGATATCGTCTATTCAAGACAGCTGGAACCATCACAGCAGAGAGAGAGAGCGCACATCAATATATATGTGAACCTCACAGTTTATCTGCTTTGTCAGTTATCAGTATAGAAATGTCATCAGAGACAAGAGTGTTGGGAGGAAAACAAAGAAAGTCTGGCCTGAATCCTATTAGTACCAACCAGAGTAGACCCATAGATTCACCATACAGCCTCAGGCTCGAAGACAGGACCTCGCATCATTCAGCCATGTTTAAATATACCAGCCTTCCATAAACTGCCACCTTGGCTACTGCACTTTGATTCAGACCAGACAAAGAAGGTGGAAGCCCAAACATCTTGCTAGGTATTTTTATATTTCTGTTTTGTTCATCCCTCTATTAAATACAACTGCATTTATCTGGGATCCTGAATGAATGTGTGTAAAGAACTGTTCAATGCTTTAAATTTCATGCACACAGAAAAACTTGCGGCTAGTGCCTTCTATGTATAGGACGCAAAGTCCAACTAGCACTCATTAGGGACACACAAGATATGCATCAGCAGCAAATAAACTTCCTTTGCTTTTACATACTTTTAAGTACACATGAGAAGAAAACAGTAAATTGTAGTTCCTTCCATTTCCATAATTAAATGAAAGGTTATTCTATTCAAAAAGTTATAGGATAGATAATGAAGCTGGGGAAAACCTGCAAAAGTGGGTTGATTTTTACACACATCACTGTTAAACTGTTGTTAACCCAAATGGAAAGTAGTCAAAAACTACTCCTTTTTACTTTCGGGATTTTCCAAAAGTAAAAAGAAGCAGCTTTTGACTACTTTCCATTCAGGTTAACAAGAGTTTAACACTGACGTAATCTGAAAATCTACCTGCTTTTGCAGGGGTGGGGGTCTAGTTAAAACCCTGTTTCTGCACAAGATTCCTCCTGTGTGATAAAGTCCTCACTCTAGTGCCTAATTTTGTTGTTGTTAATTGCCCATGAATCAACTTTGACTCACAGCGACCCCGTGAGTGAGACACCTCCAGGCCCCTCTATCCTCAACTGATCTGCTCAGATCCTACAGGCTCAGGCAATAGCAAACTGCTGTAGTCAGTCCTAATTCATGTGTCCTTCCTTGTTAATAATGTCAGCCATTATAACTACACTCTGATGTTGCTTGGCCACATGTGTCCTGCTTTTTGTCTGTGAAATGTTGGAGAGCATGTAAGAGTTTTGTTCCTCCAATAACATTTTCCTTCAGCTTCAAACTTCCAGCATTGCAGTAACTTAAACTTTCAGTTGCCTATTTAGAAATACAGTCTAGACATAAAAAGAAAAGGGTTAGGCAAAGATACCAAGGAATGCAAACACAGAAGTAGGTTATTTATCTTGGAGAGGTTTTTTTAAAAAAAAAGTTCAGATTAGAATACAGATAAGATTCATCATCCTGATGATGCTGGAGGATCAATGAAATACTGTATTTTCCGGCATATAAGATGACTGGGCATATAAGATGACCC